TTCTGCCTTTGCACATAGCTCCTGCAGCAAAAGCCTCAGCACAAGGTCACAGAAATGTCACTGCAGAGTGCGATCCCTGTGTAACACTTAAGGAAAGTTGAAGCAAGAGAAGAACCAACTCTCAGCCTCTTAGAAGTTGAAGGAAATTGCCAAGGGAACAAAAACTTAATGCATGTAGATCCATAAGTAAAGGGCCAGGGGCTACAGGTGTGGAATTGGCCTCCAGAGGAGAATGACTTCTCCCTGAGCACAGCACTCAGTAGGAAACCCTCAGACTGCAGAGCAATATGAACTTGCTAGTAGAGTTTTCTTAAGTATAAATTGTGTCTTCTTGCTTTTTTTATTTCTCTATCTGATTACTTGGATTTCAATTCATTTAGATGCCTCCAAAAATCAAATTACATTATGTGAGTCTAAAAAACATACCAGGGAGAGTTGTGCTTCACTTGCTAGTTGTTCCTGTTCTTCACACCTTTAGCACAAATAAGTGAGGGGAAGGAATGACAAAGTTATGAGACCAGAGGATCATTTCCCAGAAAGATCTTTCAGGAATGGATACAGGGACATGCACAGTCCATGAAAGCCACAGCAGCTCCTGGTGCTTGGCTGCCCATGACCCAAACTTGAAGCAGCAGAACACACCCACAGCAGCAGAACATCAGTGTCCACAGTAACAAATCCACACCAGACTTCACCTTAAGCTATGAAAAATCCAACTTCTCTTTTAACATTCTGTCTGAAAAATAACTGGAGTAACTCAGTGGGAAAAGAAGCAACCAGAGATATAAATGGCACTTCTTAATAGATAAATAGAATTGACAAAAGCCAAGAAACTCAAAACTCCTGTTTCAAGTGTAGTATAACACAGCTAAATATTGACTTACAGCACTTCAAACCAGAAACTCTCAAGTGTGGCTACTGAGGATTTGATGTGGGATATTAGGCAAAGTGCATACTTATGCATGTTTGGTGTTGCATGGCCTATCATGTAAGGGCCATGGGCATGTGCAGAACAACCAAACAAGAACTGTTTGAGAACTGGTGTTCTAAACCACTTGGAGCACCTAAGAGCTAATGATAACTTACAGAAAAGACACAATTTCTGTGGGAAATGCAGCTTTGCATTTCTTGACTTGCCCAACTGTAAAATACATTAACTGAATTATGTCAATGAGCCACCTGATAGCACAGAGAGGTAACTGCATAGGAAAACCAGAGGCAAAATAGACCAGATATACCCCCGGAAGTGTTCCAGGCCAGGCTGGATGAGGCTTGGAGCAACCTGGCCTAGGGGAAGGTGTCCCTGCCCATTGCAGGGGGGTGGAACTAGAAGATCTTTAAGGTCCCTTCCAACCCAAACCATTCTGGGATTCTATGATTTGAATACTGAAGAAGCACTGAAAAACTTACATAAATCTCTAACAGGACACTTGCTTGAAAAATGCCATAATTATAGCTAAGTGATTTAATTCCTTCAGTTTCCAAGATTTTCCTGCAGAAATGAGGCAAATTCAAGGAGCAATGTAGGCTACACAAACTATTTCTGCCTCTCAGGCTGTGGTGGAACTCTCTCCAGTGCAGAAGAATAGCTCTGGTTTGCTTCACTAGCTGCTGTTTTCAGGGTGGTATGGACAGTCTTTAGCAAAAGCCTTCAGTGAAATTCAGGCCAAAAAAAGAAACAGCAGGATATTACAGAAAAAGTAAACTTTCAGTAGAATAGTCATTGAGTTTGACCAAACCAGTTCCAGTTCTAAGAAAAAAATAAAGACCTTTAGTCTTATCCTAATCTTCTTCCTTCCTTGAAGCATCTGTTAGAGATTTGCCTCACGCCACAATAGTTTTAAGAAAAAATAACCCAAAACCTAACTCAGAGCAATTCCTGGCTGAAGAAGAGAGACAAAGTATTAAGTTATAGCCATATTTTCAGTATTACAGCTTTCAGTACAGCATAATGTCAATGTTAACACACAAGCAGCACATTTCCAGTATTGAACAAGGGCTATGGAAGCTTTATTTTTTCATACAGATTGTTTTAAGGGCTTCTTGTCATCTTATTCATTTATTGCACAGATCATCTCCTCCCACAAGCAATTGTGCAATCTCTCTGTGGCAACAAAGCCAATTGCTTAGTGTCCCAATATTACTTTCCCATGTACTTACAGCTGCCTAAATATAATTCACTAGCTGGAGATGAAAAGGAATTGCTATCATGAAGTTGTGCTCTCCAGGTCACATTCGGAGAGTCTCTGCTGTAGGAAAATAATTAAGTGAAGCTACATCTACCTCTGGTTCTGAGCTGCTCACATTAAAGTTTAAAACTGCTCTGCAGTCAAACATTGCCACCTGTTCTTTCATTTTCATTGTAAAAAATTTGGAATCCCTTTCATGTAAGCCTGAAAATGCTTAAATTCTGGAAATATGTGCATTCCCCAACCACAACAATTACTATCATATTAAATTTATGAAGATGTATGAAAGAATGGTACAAAGATTAAAGGGTATTATAAAGCCAAAATATACATGCATGTATATTATGTACTACAAATATGTGTTCTCAAACCACTGTCTCCACCATGTCTAGAGAAGGCACACACTGCAATTAATAATACATTCAAGCTTGATTTTCAGTTGCAACTTTCAGGAGACTTTACCCTTTCAGGCATGATATTGTAGCAGTCCTACTGAACTTCAACTTTCATTAGAAGCCATCAATCAAGTTTCTTTCAGTAAAACCACATGTTCACTGCAGACCACAAGAAATTTTTTGACAACAAAAGAAAGTTCTGTCATGTGTATATTTATGGCCAGAGAAAGATGAGGCAAATCTTGTCATGTGTTTATCAGTTAAAAAAAAATGGGGATTTTTAACATCCAACTGCAAGTCCAAAATACTTTCCCTTTTCTCTCAATTCACACTTTTCTAAGTCATAATACCAACCCAAGCACTTACTCTTTAAACTCTGAAAAACTACCTAAATGGTTCTGTCTCTGAAATGCTGCTCCATTTCCAGGCAAGGACTCCTTGTTCTCTGCTCTCCCAGCAAAGGGAACCATCTGACATGAAGTTTTTATAAACAGGGAGCTTTGAACTTACAGTAACAGATGTGCTTAATTTTAAGATGTTGTATTTACTTAAACCCACCTACACTTATCATGTTGCAAGTTTCCCTTTTTCTTTCAAATGCTTCTTATTAATTTTTTACCCTCAACTTTTTGCCTGATTAAGTTCTCTTGTGGCAAAGCTTACAGAGACAAGACCTTCTGGTTCAAACTGACAGACAGTTGTTTCCATTTGCAAATCCTCTAGATTTTTATTGGCTCATTAAATATGTATACTTTGAACGAGATTTAAATTATCCTGGTATATAAATCATCTTTTTTTTGTGTTCTTCTCAAAGAAAATTGACTACTGCCATCTCCTGGTCACACATTTTCAGCTGACACACATACATACCTGGACTGTGCCCAAATTCCTTCTACTACAGTACAGGTAAATAGTTGGACATGCATGAAGTTGTGCCACTTCTTCTGTAAATTTTTCCACTAATAGTCCATAGCTGCTAATTTTTACATTATTCATAACTCTCCTCATGTGCAAACCATCGCTCTGAAATGAAGTTCCAAGTCCCAACAACCAATAACATTGGCCCAAGGCTTTTCTTACCACTTATAAATATTTGAAACAGAAATAATTCCCTCAGAATTAGAATTTGAATAGATGTTTTCTAAAAAAACCACATAAATGGAAGAAGTTCAAAGGATTATTTTTAAAAGGGCTTGAAGGAAGAATTTGCCTGTGTTGGGGTGGAGCAATTATAATTGAATGTATTGCAGACATGCAGGTTTTTAGATTCCTGTTCTTAGCACAGTAAGATTCAAACTGCAACAGATGTCACTCTGCACCTCCACAAACTTCTTATCTGCTAAACCAATTAAATGCAGCAGTAATGTGCACAGTTTATGTTATTTCAACACTGACTTGAACTACAACAAACACAAAACATTCCCTCCCTCTCATACAACAACCTTTAAACAGATACTAAGTAATCTCCAAAAATAGCAGCACTATGCAAAGATAATACACAGTGACCTGCATGTAAGATAATCTGTTACACACCAGCTTGAAGCCCATCCTACACCAGGCCTTTTTAACATTGACAATATCTGATTTTCTCCCACATTTACATGATCTTAACTTAGTATTATCCTTCAGTTCTCCTGCAGCACCTCTGCATTTCCCCATGTGTGAGCCAGTCCCATCCAGCACAACATTATGAGCATCTCGTGTGCTAAACAGCTCTCTATAAAGCAATTAAGATTCAGCTGACTACATAAAATGCATATTGTAATGCTCTTGGCAAATACACATTTAAATGAATACTTAATTGCAAAGATTCTGATGACTTATATACAGATACATTGCACAGAATCAGAAAATCACAGACTGGTTTGAGTTGAAAGAACCTTAAAGATCATCTTGCTCCAACCCCCCTGCCATGGGCAGGGACACATTCCATTAGCCCAGGTTGCTCCAAGCCCCATCCAACCTGGCCTGGAACACTTCCAGGGTTGGGGCAGCCACAGCTGCTCTGGGCAACCTGTGCCAGTGCCTCAGCACCCTCACAGCCAAGAATTTCTTCCTAACATCTATTCTAAATCTAACTTCCTTCAGCACAAAGCCATTCTCCCTTGTCCTGTCACTACAAAGTCCCTCTCCTATGCTCTAAGGTCTCCCCAGTGTCTTCCCCTCTCCAGGCTGAATTTCCAATGCTTTCAGAGCACCCTAACAATATCATAACTATCTACACATATAGACATAGATATGGACATGCATACACACTATGTATACATAAAAGTTTGGAATTGTTGTAATGAGTTTGGTAGAAATGAAAGCCAAATTTAAAAGAAACCAGAATTTTATTATACATGAGTATATATCAGTATTTGAAAGTGATGTGCTTAACTGAGAGAACTCTATTTGCTTGTTCATGTTGATTTACCTTCTTGTTGCATCTCTTCAGACTTCCCTCTCACATGAATAACTCTGGGTCGCACAGTCTCAACTGGTGCAGCTCCTTGGCTTTCCTCCTACACATCAGATAATAAAATCATATTACAAATCTGACTTTTGATGCAAAAGCACAGTAAAATAACATGGAGCTTCAAGAAACATCCAAAGAGGTTTTTAAAGATTCATTATAAGATGTGCACTTTTTCTCCTTCCTTTTGACTTCAAAAGAATTCAGCTTGAATTCGCCTATTGCAATGCTAATCCCCTTAGCTGCACATCCTGGGAGCAGCAGGTATGGATGGCAAAGTGCCATGTAGACCTGAAGACACAGGAGATGCTCAATTCTTACTCAAAGCATGTGGCAGAAAGAACATAAAATTTCCCTGTCTCTCTTCAACACCTAGGACTTCTCCCTAGGTATTATCCTCCTGACTAACAAGACAAAGTTGAAAGCGAAAAAAAAAAAAAAAAAGAATTTCAGCGCACAGGTTGGAAAACCCAGGCCAAGTCTAAAATTTGTTTCCTTGACCATGGTCTTTAGAACCATTTTCCACTCTTGCTGAAATGTGCTAGGTCTGCACAATGCCTATGGAAAAATAGCTCCTTAGAAGCAACAAACACTCTGCATGTTAACAAGGGAGACATCATATTTGTCACGTACACTTGTTATCTTATGCTAACTGGAACAGGAATTGTGGCCCAAGGACATTCCATTGCATGGAGACAAGAAATATGAGAAGGGCAAAACAGAGTGATGGAGTCCTGGACAACTTAAATGTTGTCCAAGACAGACAAATTTTATTTCATCTGTTATTCTGTTGATTCCGCAGATGAATATGGTTTTAATGAAGGATCTTAAAGAAGGCAGAACACAAAACCAGCCTCCACATGTTTGTGTATTACACAGCACTTGGAGCCTACAGACAGAATCTCTGCATGGTTTCTGGGAAAACTGAGAAGCAATGGCACTGGTATTGTCTGAACACCTGATGACAAAGCACCAGTGGTATTTTGCTCCCCAAAAGCTAAAAAGGAAGAAAAGGGAAATATGCCTTAATTCTGTAAGAGAGACTCTCCACTACTGTGGAAACCACAAGTGAAACAAACAGCCAAAAGTATAGATGAAAAGAAGATGAAATGGTGCTAACTACATCATCAGGGCTTCTCATTTCTTTCAGCTAACAACTGTCTCCTGTGACAACAGGAATCTCAACACCAATATTGGTTCTCATATATTTAAGGATTATTTAAGCCAGAGTTGCAAAAATCAGGAGGAACAAACAGACAAAGCATTCAGTCAGTGTCTTTCCCTCAGCGGCTGCATAGACTTGGTTACACTCCTCAGCAAACAAAGCACAGAGAGGGCTGCACTAGTGGCTACCATGTCACCTCTAAGAAGCACCAACACACCTCACCAGCACAGCCATGAGCAGAAATACACATGCAACTGAGATGAAGCTAAGATCTCCACAAGGCTCTAAGTGCATGGACAGAGCAGCTAGGATTAGCACTGACTTGGGCACCTCTTCCACCACAATGCTGACCAACTCTGTTCATCATTTAAACCTGACAAGGTAAGCAAGAGTTGAGAAGACTTCCTGCAAGCAGGAAGGTCTCATGAAGGCCACTGGTGTTACAGAATATTAAATGTCAGCAGCATAACAGTACACTTATGGGTCCATTTGGAGTGAAGTTTTTTGTTTTCTATTGGATTTATAATGCAGCAAACCAAAAACCAGTTTAAACTGAACTGAGGTACAAACAGAAGTTGAGAGATAACAGATTCATAACCTACAGTTATGGATTCCTGAAGGTTAAATAACCATGTCTTTTGAAATACTAAAAACTGAGAGCTAATGAGAATACCAAAGTGACAATCCCACTGAAAAAATGTGGATTGTATAAAAATGTTCGTACTCATAAACTAGTATTATGGAGATATTTTGCAGCCAAGTGGTTTTCTAAGACTTTAACAATGCATTTGGGACTCCAAATGATTTAGATTTACCATCCTTGGAATGTTTAGCCACACAAATATGACATCAATGTTCCTGTCCCTCCTATGATCAAAATGATTTATTTAGAATAGGAAGAGCTCTGTATCCTCCTAGTTATTCTCTTGTTTCTTAGAGCTAAGAGCATGGGGGCAAACTGGCCACAAATAACAGTCAATTCCTGTATTGTTGCACAAGAATGGACAGAAAGGGTCAAACCCAAGATGCCTTTAGTCTGCCTTTGTCTAACAGTGGCTAAAAGCATATATAAATCTCATTTTAAAAATCTAATGCCAGAAATGGAGGAGCAGCCAAGGAATTTGGGTAGATAAGGAAATTCCTGTATGACTTAGGCCATTTGTTTTGGAATGAGTGACCACACAGGTTTCATGACTAAAAGGCATTTGCTCATGCCCTACATGAAAATTCAGGGCTCTTTCTGCTGGCCAAAATCTGACCTACACAGCAGTGGCAGGGAGCAAACAAGTGGTACATATATGGCAGCTCTACATCACTGCCAAAACCTCCCTGACACTGATCCTGACATGAGGATCCTGTTCAGACACTGCAGAAACCACCATAACAAACCCCAACATCCAGGAGGATCATTCCCAGTTAAATCCCAACAAAACTCTACCAAGCCCAAGGCTCAGCTGGACACCCTCTGAAACAGTGTATTTTCTCAGGTTCCTCAGCAAACTTTTCTCCTAAATACATTTGTTTTCTGACTTTAATTTCAATGAAGGCAAATGCTGCCTAGAGATGAAAAACAAGATGTGAGAGTCCGTGACTAACTTGAGAGGAAATCTTTAAAGAAGTTTAAAGTGATTATTTGCCTTAAATATTGCACTGAATGAATGAATCACCCTGAAAGTCTAAGCACCTCTGAGCTGGTATTTTGTTACCAGAAAATCTGTGTCCTACTGGCAGGTGACAAAGCAGATCCACCACAGAGCTGAATACAGATGTGATCCCTAATTGCAACTGGGGGAAAGGTACATCGTCGTCACATGGTAAATAGATGTTGTCAAAACAAGCTTTCAAATCAGCTGGTACAGGGGGTATTTTTTTCTTTTAGAGAAGGATGTACAGGTCTAATAGAGGATCTTATGGAATAAGACTTCGCCCCATCCAGGAGAAATGTTTCCTGTGGTTATCACTTAGAGGTATGATCACCTCACAGAACAGCTAAAAGGTTTGTCTGTGAGAAACAGTGACAGAGTCTTACATGAGGAATAACCACACACAGGAAGAGATTGTTTTGTTTGGGGGAAAAACCAAAACAAACAAAACCACACAGACAAGGTTCAGGGGTTTGGTTGGTTGGTTGGTTTGAAGGGAGGGTGAGTTTTACACGCCAGCAGGCAAAAGAAACCAACCACACTGAGGGTTCAGATGCACGAAAAAGTTTCTAAAGATCAGATAATGTGTAACTATTTACATATAAAGGGTAAGATAGTATATAACTATCTATCTATCTGCTTACTTTTTGTGAAAGACACTGTGCCAGATCAAGTCAGATCTCTTGCATAGGTAAGACTATGTACATGGCCAATCTTATACATGGTACATTATCATTTTCTTGTACTCAGCCAAACAAAAATCAATCCTAATCCTATCAGCTGATTCTCCTCAGTGTAAGGCACAGGTATCACTGTTCTTTATCACAGCCAGTGGGGCTGAAAGAAGGAAACATGTTTCATCTTCTTTGTCCCTATTCCTTTTGGCTAGTGAAACAATAACACGGATATGAGCTTCACCACACAGGACACAGCAGTCACAGAATCCAGTTTTGCCTGTGAGCAATCATTCCAATAAATAGTATGTTCTTTTCAAAGAGAAAAGAGGTATAACATTTAAAATCCTCTTTGAAGATGCAGCACATCACTTCAGATGACACGTTAGAGAACTGCTCAGACACTAATGGCATGACACACGTCAAGGCTCAAACCCCAAAGACAGGTCAGTACGAGACACTTTAGATTATTTTACACAGAACACCAGGGGAGGACAGAATGCATCCATGCACACAGCAACCATGGTAAGTATGTAATTACTTTCAAACACACTGTGAAGCTTCATATATTAGAGAGCAGTCTGCCACCTCAGTTTTGGCTTTTACCACTTGCTATTTGAATTTCTCTCTAGTTAGCAAGTAAACCATCATCTCTAGGTAACAGCACATACTGATAAATTAGCAACAGATTGTCTAGGTTTGAAGCAGAGATCAATAGGATCTTCCTCCACCTTCAAGTGTCCTGAGGTACATTATCATTCTGCCTTTCCAACCCTGCCCCTGCTAGGACAAATGAAGCTCCTGAAATGCTGAATCAGTGGGTTACAACTTGTGAGGCCAAATTTCTATTGTTACTTCCTTTCCCATATATCCATCATGTTATTCTTCCGTATTTGAAGCATTGTGCCCCGAAAACATTGGAATGCCACATCTGAACTGTGTATATACAGTACTAGATCCTGTAAGACCAGCAAAGCTGTGAGGAAGTGCAGGAAAGGTAAAAGAGAAGGTCTGAGCCTAACAGAAAGGATATTGCAAGGATTCCATCCCAGCAAACACAATCACTCTTACTGCAATACATGTCCTTTTGACTGTCACTTTAAGTGCAGCAGTTTGGTGATGTCAGGCACCACAGTGAAACAGGAACATTTATTTCCCCAGGTTACAGCATAGTGAAACAGGAACATTTATTTCCCTAGGTTTCAGTTTGCTCTTTCTGACTAGTCACATCAAAAAATCCTTTCAGTTTACCTGGGACAGATCCTCTGAGGGTGATGTCACTCCGCAGCTTGGTTGGGCTGTTTGCAGAACAGGATTTGAAACTGGCTGTGATTCCAGTTCAGCCATAAGCATTGGACCATGACTTGTATCTGTATCTCCAAGAATTTCTGCTGAGAGAAAAAAATTCCTTGATGAGCTGGAGCAATAATCTCCTGGTCAACTCATGTGGCAGAATGGGAAGTGCTTCAAAATTCAACAACAGAACATGCAACGTTAAAGAGAATTATTTCCTCCTTACATGGCTCACTGTATATCCCTTAGATTGTTCTTGTGGGGGGAAAAAAATAAATAAGAAATACACATCTGTGGAAATTGAAGGAATAAATCAGTTTTATCATCTGTGGTTTCTACATGGCAGCATTTAAGAGAGCTTCAGAGCTGTGTACTTCATCATACCATTATATGCTTAATGAGCTTTATCACATTCACTGGAAAGAGATTGGAAAGGTTTCTTCATGAAAATGTTTCACTGTTGTGTGAATTAAAAGACACCTGTATATCATCTATTTTAAAGGGATAATTTGCTCTCTAATCCAGCATTTATCAGCTCTTGCAGCCTGCAAGTGTGTGAAGCATCTTCATGAAAAATGTACTGACAGCTCATGAACTAACTTTAGCCTTCTGCTATCACACAGAGCCAAAGAATGAATTTTAAGCCTAATTAACTATAATCATTGCTTAATTAACTGCAATTATTGTTCACTTTAAGACTGCATGTGCCACACTTCATTTGCATGTTGGTTTTTTATGTCCATGGCTTTAAGCACCGAAAACAAGGATTTATAAACGCAAGACTGATCATCAAGATGTTGTGATGTACCTGCACAAGAAACACCTGCTCCATCCAACAAATGGACATCATGTTTCCAGAATGCAAATAAAAACTGGTCACAAACCTGAGGATAACCCACATACACACAACCCCCAAAATTCTTCCAGATACCTTTGTGAGTGACTCGTTCTGCCAGAGAAACTGTGTCTCCACTGCAAGGTTATACATACAGAGATGCACACCCTGAAATATGCGAACTCTGACACTTGTTGGTGTTACAATTATTTCCTTTTAGCAGCCTGAAAAATTATTATCAAATAAAATGATGGACCTGCATTGTAGCTTTGTGGCTGTCAGGAAATGGCTGAAGGACAATCTCACATATCAGTGGAGAAAGAGAGAGAAAATATTTGGAAGAAAGTGGAAACAATCACAGATCATTCCTTCCCCCTTCCACTCCCCACGAACAGATTGTTTCCTACCCAGTGTTGACTTCACTATCAAAAGGACTTGGAAACAAGATTTTCTGTTCCTCCCTGATATGAGAACACTCTTGTCTTCAAAGCAGATCTGAGCTTATACACAATGTTGTTTCCTTAGCAATGCAACGAATCCTGTGCTGTGTTCAGAGGTGCGGAGGGAGAGAAGCTAAATTAAAATTCATCAGAATGCAACAGAATTCAGCCTGGGATTATTAGAGGTTATGTAAAAGCACCGGGCATTCCCCTATGGTAGTTAGTCCAGGGCACTTGCCTCCACTCAAAAATATACTACAATAAAAACAATACTACAAGGTGTAGAGACATAAGCTTAAAAAATTCAGTAGAGAAACACACTGCTTCTAGATTATTAGCACATGCAGGAGCTGGTTTTGAAAAGTGTTAGGTATTTACAGGACAGTCAAAGGGCATCCTAAATTAAATTTAATAAATTTAAAAAACAGGTACAGAGAAGATACAAACATGTGCCAGAAACAGCTATGGACAGTCTGGGTAAGGAGGACATACCCCAGAGACAGGTTCTCCCATGAACAGGCATCATCTAACCCCATGGTCCTGAGCACTTAGTGACTTACAGAATCATGGAATCCCAGAATGGTTTGGGTTGGGAGGGACCTTAAAGATCACCTCATTCCAACCCTCTGCCATGGGCAGGGACACCTTCCACTAGCCCAGGTTGCTCCAAGCCCTTTCCAAGCCTACCAGGGTTGAGGTAGCCACAGCTTCTTTGGGCAACCTGTCCCAGTGCCTCACCACCCTCACAGGGAAGAATTTCTACCTAATATCTAACCTAAATCTCTCCTCTTTTACTTTCAAACTGTTCCCCCTTGTCCTATCTCTATCTGCAGATGATCTAGATCACTGATTTATTCCTACATTGTCATGTCCTTAATGCTGACTGTCCTCTAACACAATACAAAGTTAAACAAATGACTTGGAGACATCTCTTACCTCAGGAAGCCTCATGCAACCAATCTCCAAACAGCATTCAACAAACTACTTTCAAGTAAAAGTCTGATAATATCTGACATTCCAGATCATATTTTCCAGGCTGACACTGGTGTGGTTGGTTCAAAATGTTAGGTCACAGCTAGTTTAGAAGGTTATTCTCTGTGTCACCACTTCAAAACCAAGCAAATATATTCTTATTTCTCCAGGATTATTTTGGCCATGTGTTGGA